GACGTCGCCAACGAAAACGACGACGAGGGAGGAGGGAGGACGACGACGGCGACAACGACGACAACGACGACAACGAGGGAGGAAGGCGACGACGCGAACGACGAAGAAGGAGGAAGGACGGCGACGCCGACGACGACAACGACGAGGGAAGAGGGAAGACCGACGACGACGACGACGACGACGCCGCAAGAGCGTGCGCGCACGCTTTTGTTGAAGGTCCGTGTTGCGAAACCATGGTTTTTATATGTTTTTTGGACACACGATTTTGAAATCCTTCCGAAACCGGAGGTTTTTGAAGGATTTCGGCATACGCGCGCGATGACGCGCGCGTCTGCACTTCGGCCCATTTTTTGCAGAGGATTCTCACGACGGCACACGCGCAAGGGCGTTCGAAAGATTTCGACATGCGCGCGCGCGAAGCCCGTTTAATACCATTGTGTGAAAATCTTGAAAAACCAATGGTGTTCTTAAGATTTCGCAAAAGCTCGCGCAACAGTTTTTTAGCAAATCAGTGCTGCGAAACCTTGTGTGTTTGTTGTATGTTTTCTTGGAAACTCGATTGCGATGTCCTTCCGGCACCGAAGGTTTTTGAAGGATTTCGGCATGCGCGCGCGACGACGCGCGCGTGCGCATTTCGTCACAGTTTTTTGCAAGGGGTTCGCGAAACAATGATATGTTATAACAACAAATGTCACCGCATAGTGCTTTTCTTACAAGGGAACCTCAGGGGGGGGGAAGCCTGCCCCCCTGGGATAGTGCAAAATCATATTTAGGATTGACATGTGGTCAGAATCATATCTGATTTACATACCCGAAAAGGGGGAGTGCTACCGCCGGGGGGGGGGCAGAGTCTATTTTGTCTTTAGATCGGAGAATTCATTTCTGACCGTCTTGAAGCTGTCCTCTCCGCTGCTCGTGCAAACATCCCACCCTCCCACCCGCAACTTGGTCGCAAAACCCCTGAAGACAAGACCGTGACGGTATGTACCAGATGGCACTTGGCCACGACACCGACGACGACAGCGACAACGACGACGACGGCGTCGCCGACACCGACGACGACGACACCGACGACGTCTCCAACGACTTCGGCGACGACAGCGACCACGACGACGACGACACCGACGACGACGACGACGCCGACGACGACGACGATGAGAACGACGACGACGACGCCGACGACGACAACGCCGACGACGACGACGAAGACAACGACGACGACGACGACAACGACAACGACGTCGCCAACGACGACGACGAGGGAGGAAGGAGGACGACGACGGCGACAACGACGACAACGACGACAACGAGGAGGGAGGAGGGAGGACGGCGACGACGTGCACGACGAAGAAGGAGGAAGGACGGCGACGCCGACGACGACAACGACGAGGGAGGAAGGAAGACGACGACGACGCAAGAGCGCGCGCGCACGCTGTTGTTGAAAATCCGTGTTGCGAAACCTTTGGTGTTTGTAGGTTTTTTGGACACACGATTTTGAAATCCTTCCGAAGCCGATGGGTTTTGAAGGATTTCGGCATACGCGGGCGACGACGCGCGCGTCTGCATTTCGTTCCTTTTGCAGAGGATGCTCGCGACGGCACACGCGCAAGGGCGTTCGACAGATTTCGACATGCGCGCGCGCGAAGTCCGTTTGGTAGCATTTTGTGAAAATCTTGAAAAAAAAAACATGGTTCTCTTATGATTTCGCAAGAGCTCGCGCGGAAGCTTTTTCAGCAAATCAGTGTTGCGAAACCTTGTGTGTTTTGTATGTTTTTTTTGGAAACTCGATTGCGATGCCCTTCGGCACCGAAGGTTTTTGAAGGATTTCGGCATGCGCGCGCGACGACGCGCGCGTGTGCATTTCGTCACAGTGTTTTGTAAGGGATTCGCGAACAAGTGTTATGTTATAGCTAAAAATGTCACCGCATAGTGTTTTCTACAAGGGAACCTCAGGGGGGGGAATACCGGCCGGCCTGGGACATTGTGATTTCATATTTAGGATCGACATGTGGTCATAATCGTACATGATTTACATATCCGAAAAGGGGTACCGGTAACGCCGGGGGGGTGGTAGATCTTATTTTTTTTTTTGAAAGGAGAATGTATTTTGACTTCCTTGCGCGTGGCCACCTCCCATGCTCGCGCAATCATCCCACCCACCCACCCACAACCTGGTTTGCAAAACCAATGCGACCACGATTGCGATGGCTGCTTGGCGCTGGATGGTGCATCGTTGCGGCCGCCCTGGCGAGCGCAGGCTCGCGCGCAGAGCGGCCAACTATTCTGGCGCGGCCGCCGCGGCCGCGGTTGCGCTGACCGTTGGGAACTTCCCAGCGCGTCTAGCAGGCGGCGTTGGCGCGCGGGCACATCAGTGCGAGTCGGTGACTCGGGCGGGCGCGGTATCATGGCGACGTCGACAAAGGCAGACACGATGATGATAGTAGCAACGCTGGTGACGATGATGGCAGTGACGGCGGCAAGGCAATGACGGCGCCGATGCCGATCACGCCGATGACGATGATGGTGTCCTCGCGTCGGTGATGAAGTTTTATGGAAGGATTTCGACATTCGCGCGCGGTCGACGCGCGCGAGTGGCCCGCGTGGTATGATTTGACCGGGATCGTGCCCTCCCCCCCCCGCACGCGCGCAAGGGTGTGCGAATGATTTCAACGTGCGCGCGCGAGAAGCTCGCTTGGTAGCACTTGATGAACACGTTAAAAACCTTCGGCTTTTTGCACAACGAATTCGCAAGAGCGCAAGCGCAAACTTGTTTGACAGTTCCTGTTGCTCAGCCGTGGCTCTTAATCTGTCCGGAGCATTCGATTGTGATGTCAATGCGAACCCAATGGTTTTTGGTTCTGGCATTCGCGCGCGAAGACGCGCGCGTGTGAATTTCGCCATTGTTTGCGCAGGGTTCTTGCCACAACACGCGCGCAATGGCGTTCGAATGATTTCGACATTCACGTGCGCGGAACACGTTTGGTAGCAAATGATTCAAACATTGGTAAGCGTTGTATTTTTGCTGAACTCGCCAAGGCGAAGCCCTTGTTTTTGATGTGTTTTCGGGGCACTCGATTTTGGGATGCGCGCGCGACGATGCGCACGTGTGCACTTTTTTGTTCTGGTAATATATTTGAAGATGCAGTGTGCGCGCATTGTGTTTTTTTTTGCAGTGGATGGGGGGGGAGTGGATCATGGCCTGGCAGGGGTGGTATACGTTCTTTTGTAGACTGAACGATGGGGCAAACTCGTTTGTAAATCTTAGCACCCCATAGAGGGCCGACCATTACGGGGGGGACGTTATTTTTTCTAAACTGGAAGAGCTGTATGGTGCGCAATCTTACGTGTTGCAATCCAAATGGTGCTCCCTATGCAGTGCAGCCGATGTGGTACAATACGTGTGGTGCGCAATATTAACTGGCGCGGCGCGTTGCAACGAAATGAGAAGAGATGCGACGCGGTGCAAACGAATGTCAAACAATGCAGGGCAATGCGATGCGCAGGATAACCATACAACGCAGTGCAAGTTGATATAAAGCAGCGCAACGCACAACGGTTGCAAAGCAGCGCTATTACATTGCAGCGACACAGCGCGATGCGGAATAACGCAATGCAGCGCAACGTGGAGCATGGCAAATCAACGCAACGCAACGCAACGCAATGCAAAGCGCGCCAGGCAAAACGATACGACGATTTGCAAAACAATGCGACACAATGCGCAGCGGGCGGCGACGAGGCGACTGGCGGCGACGAGGCTGCGACGGCGGCGCCATGGCGCCCACAGCGGCCCGCAAGCCCAGGCGACAGGCGGCGACAGGCGGCGACGAGGCGGCGACGATGCGGCGACTGCGGCCGCATGGCGGCCAGAGCGGCCCTCAGGCCCAGTTTCTTCAAAAAGAAGCCCTAAGTGCAAGCATTGCTTGGGGAACAATCCCAAAGAACGCCTAGACGACGGGCGGCGACGAGGGGGCGACGAGGCGGCGATGGCGGCCACTTAGCCGCCAGACCGCCGTGCAAGCCCAGACGACGGGCGGCGACAAGGCGGCGACGGGGCGGCGACGGCGACCACATAGCCGCCACACTGCCGCGCAGGCCGAGGTCTTCAGAAAAGAAGTAAACACTACGTGCAAGCATTGCCTGGGGAGTATTGCGCCGCGTGGCTTAAGCCACATCTATTGCTGCTGCGCTGCACACCCTACACCACGTATATGTCTCCACACACCTTCTCAAGGCAATACCGTACTGTTCGGGGTCCACGCTGACAAACATCTACGTGTACAACTTCCCCAACTCTGTACTTGGGCTTGGGAGTCGTACTGTTGTCTCTTAAGTGATTGGGCGGGTGCACCGGGATGTTCCACGCTGTCGCCCCGTGCCGCCTGGTGGGCGCTCGTGGGTACCCCGTGCGCTGCTCTTCATTGCCGCCCGTGCCGCCTCGTGGGCGCTCGTTGGTGGGTCCGAGGCTGCGCCGCGCCGCCCGTGCCGCCTCGTGGGCGCTCGTGGGCGCCCCGTGCGCTCGGTGGGTCAGCCGAGGTCGCGTCACGGTGCCCCCCTGGGAAGCGGGGGAAAAAACGAGAAGGTGGACTGAATGGAAGATGAGAGAGGGGAAACAGGGAGGGAAGGAAAAGGGTGTGGAGTGTGGCGCGGAGCAGAGGGGAGGGATGGATTGTGCGTGGGGGGATGGATAATATTGGATCCGCGAGCTCCCTAGGGAGGGGGGGGAGGGGGTCGCGGGACGGCGGGAGGAGGGGGAGTGAAAAGGGAAATGAGGCAGGTTGAGCAGGAGGAGGAGGCGGAGGAGGAGGAAAAGGAGGAGGAGGAGGAGGAGGAGGAAAAGGAGGAGGAGGAGGAGGAAGAAGAAGAGGATGGGGCATGGTGGGAGAAAAGAGGCGGGGCGGGCGGGCGTCGCTGGGGGGGGAAGGGGTGCCCCGCAGCTGCTCGGGCTCCGACCCGCCCCCGTTCAGCGCGGGGCCGCGGGCGCTCTTGTGCGCCCCGCGGCGATGGCCGACGGGCCCGCTAGCGTCGAGGACCTGTCGCTCTGCGGGCTGCTGGGCCGCCTGGAGCTCCTGGAGAGGTACGGGCCTTACAGTCAAGTCGATGAAGTATGGAACAGTTTGGGTTCGGAAGGGGCTCGAGGTTCCTTAGGTCCTTCAGTGGCTGTTCCTTAGGTCCTTCAGTGGCTGTTCCATCGTGCACGGAGGCGTTTTTGGGGCCTGAAAGGGGCTTCGTTCTTTACTTATCGCTCCTTATTTCAGCAGCTTGGCTGTAGCTGCCCTGATGCGCTCGCGTTGAAACGCAACACGGGCGGTGTTCAAAGAGTCCGTGTTAACACGCTGCGTGTCGGCTCGGCACGTGTTGACCCACGTTTTGGCAAGCGTACCGCTCCGGACCTACGTTTCCGGTCTACGTGTTGCGCTCCGTGTCAGCACGCTACGGGATGCGTGTGGCGTTTTGGGGCAGCTGAGGTACGGGCAGATCCGCAGCCCGACGGACGAGGAGGCCGCTGCGTTGGCCGGCGAGGGCGCGGTGAAGAAGGCGGTGGCGGAGCGGCTTCCGGGCCTGTGTGCCGTGGGGCTGACCCCCCACGAGAGGATCCGAGGGATGGGGCGCGGCATGAGCACAGACCCTGGGTGGTCCGCACGGGTTTTCCAGGGCCTGCGCTGGGACCGCCCTGGCGGCGCCTCCGGTGCCGCCACTGGCGCGCTCCGCGCGCCAGGGAGGGGGGCCCAGCGCCGATCCAAGAAATCCGCGCGGACCACAAGCAGGTTTTGTTTGTAGAGGATATGGTTCTTCTAGAGGAGCCGGGCGAGGGCGTTCCTGGAGGCACAGATCAAGGCGGTCGACCCTCAGGCCGCGGCATCAGAGAAGCGCGCGGCCAGGCTGAAGGAGCTGCTGGCCAGCGTGTCCGAGGCCGCCTCGGCGGAGGAGCCGCCGCACGTGCAGCGCGCCAGGGCGGACCTGAAGAGGGCCGAGAAGGACTTCGCGGAGGTCAACAAGAAGTTTGAGAAGTGGGACAAGGGCAAGCAGATGCTGTCCATAGACGAGATCAAGTCGCTGAAGCGCAGTCACGAGGAAGCGCAAAAGCGGCTGGACGCTGCCAGGTCTTTCGTGGAGGAGCAGCTGGCGCGCCGTGCCGAGGCTGCGGCCGAGAGGCCGAAGGCGCTCGAGGCAAAGGTCTCCAGGCCGGTGCCCGTGGAATTCCGACCTGGGCCGCCAAAAGCGGCGGGCAGGGGGCCGGCCCCTGCGGTCCACGTGAGGCCTGCGGCGGGCGGGGGAGGCGGCTACCCTGCGCCGGCCGCGCTTCGGCAGGGCTGGGTGGCCGCGGAGGTCCGCGCTGAGCTGGCGGCCGAGCTGGTGGCGGAGGACGCTGGTCGCCCGCGGCCGAAGCCGCCCCCCGCGGCAGTGGCGCGGCCGCGGCCAGCCCGGCCGAGCGGCGGGGAGGAGGACGGCCCAGTCCTCTCGTTCGGCTGCGCCTGCCGCGCCGTCGCCGAGTACCTCGGCATCGGTGAGGGCGACGCGCGCGCCATGGCGGAGTCGTCCAAGGACTTCCAGGCCAAGCTGGACGCGCAGGGCTGGGAGTGGGTGCAGGAGCGCGCCGTCGCGATCGAAAAGGCAGACCGGGAGGAGCAGCGGGAGAAGGAGAAGAGGCGGCAGGCCGCGGCGGTCGCCAGGAACACGGCCAAGACGGGCGGGTCGGCCCCAGCGGCCGTGGCGCCGCCGGCCCGGGCGGCCGCGGCGGCTGCGCCGAAGGTGCCGGGCGCCAAGGGGAAGGCGAAGCCGAAGCCGGCGGCCGCGAAGAATAGTGGCTTGGCCGGGCTCGCGGGCGCGAACCGCTTCGGAGGGCTGGGCGGCGACGACGACTCGGACGAGGATGGCGGGGGCGGCTGGAGCACGGTGCGGCGGTGAGCGTCCGTCGCTGGGTGACTGCAGCGCGCAAGACCCCATCTTCTGGCTGCTGGCTGCCCGCTGCTGGTTGCCGGCTGCCTGCTGCCGCTGCCGCGTGCTTCAGCTGCGGCCGCCACCGCTCCGTCCTGGTCAAAATCTGGCTGCCGACTGCTGCTGCCGCGTGCTGCCGCTGCAGGCAGGGAGGGACGGATGAGGAGTGGCGAGGAAGGAGAGATGGGGAAGGAGGGGGGGTATGAGGAGGGGGGCACAGCCTCCCGTCCCAAGTCTCCTCCCTCCCGTCCCAAGCCCCCTTCGGATACGTCCCTGCCTGCTCACTTCAAGAAGCTCCCCTTTGAACGACTAGCACCCTATGGGCCTGCCATCGAGAACCCCGGCTTGAAAAACACCTAACTGCTTTGCGTTTTCCCAGTATGGAACTTAACAGGAATGCGCGAAGGCGTGATCGGTCGGGGTGTCCGGCGATTTCCTCGTGTCGAGAAAGGGCGGCCCCCCATCCGTGTCACTCTTGCGAGACGCTGAATTAGGGACCGCTCTGGGCTCAGGAGGGGCTACGATTTGCGGGCCGTTCCTTGGGTTTCCGCCAGGGAATGTATTTTGTGGCGGAGGCTCGCCATGGCGAGAAAAGCCCTTCGGTCCCTAGTAGTTTGCGTTCTTCATGTCAGCACGCCGACTGTAACCATGAGTGTCGAGGAAGTCCCAAGCGGCAACCGCACTTTGAAGAGCCTCCCTCTATCCTCACAGCTGCTGCATCTGTTCAAGTGCCAATTTGCTTAATCGCACAATTTCCAGGCGAACGCCCAATCTTGAAAAAGGAGCCGCCCGTCATCCGTGCAGCTGTTGCACCCATTCAGCTTCTGGTCTGGTCTTTATGGTTTAAGGAAGTCAAAGCGAAAACCACGCTTTGACAAGGAATCGCCTACAATCAATCTTTGTTTAAGGCGAATGCGCGCCGCGCTCCGGCGAGCGCCCAAACTTGAAAAGAAGCCGCCCTCCGTCCTTGAAGCTGTTGCAAGCTTTTGGGACGACAGCGCGCGGCGCTGGGGCGATTGCCGCATTTTGAGAGGAACCGTCCTCCACCTTCGAAGCTATTGTAGGGGATTCAGGAGGAGGATGTCTATGACGTTCTTGGCGCTTCTTATGGAATCATAGCAGGGGAGGGACGGAGGAGAAGGAGGAGGAGGAGGAGGATCAGGAGCAAGCAGAAGGAGGAGGAGGAGGAGGAGGAGGAGGAGGAAGAGGAACAGGAGCAGGAGCAAGAGGCGCACGAGGAGCAAGAGTAGCGGCAAGAGCAGCTGGAGCAGCAGGAGCAACAGGAGCAGGAGGAGGAGGAGGCAGGAGAAGACGGTAAAGGCGGACCAGGTCAGAAAGTTGCCACATCAGGAACAGGCCGTCATCACATTATATGTTGTTCAGAGATAGAGAGAGAGAGAGAGAGAGAGAAAAAAAGAGAGAGAGAGAGAGAGAGTTCTGCGCGCTGGACAGGCGCAGCGAACCAGCGGATGGGGTGCCTTGTCCCCTCAGGCTGGAGGAGGCGCATGCGGGCTGCCTCGGGCGGGGCCCGCTTTCCCGCCTCACCCGCCCGCAGGGTTGGGCGACGACTGCTCGGACGGGGGCGGCGAGGGCGGCCAGAGCACTGCGGCGGTGGGCTCTCGTCGCGGGGCGGCCGCCGCGCGACGCGCGTGCCGCGCGCAAAAGCCTGGTCCCCCTCGGCCTCAGCGCCCACGCCAGCTGCCGCGTGCAACGTGCTGCCGCACGGCGGCTGAGGCATATGGGCAAAAAGGAGGGGGATACATGTGGATGGGTGAGGCAGGGGGGGGGGAGCTGGTGGGAGCCGGTTGGTTGGTGGGCGTGTGGAGGAGGAGGGGTAGGTAAGAAGTGATGAGCAAGCGTCGAAGAGTGAGGAAGGAAGATGATGAGGAGGAGCAGGAGGAGGAGAAGGGAAGGAGGAGCGGGAGGAGGAGCAGCGATGACGGTAATGATGACGACGAGGGCGAGGGTTGGCGAGGATTGTGATGTTGTTGATGACGATGGCGATGTTGATGATGATGATGATGATGATGATGATGATGATGATGATGATGATGATGATGATGATGATGATGATGATGATGATGATGATGATGATGATGATGATGATGACGGCGACGATGATGATGCTGCTGATGTTGCTGATGATGATATTGCTCCCGCCGATGTTGATGGTGAGGATGGTGAGGGTGATGATGATGACGCTGCTGATGATGATTTTGATGATAATGATGACGATGATGAAGAAAATGTTGATGACGATCAACAATGATGGCACTGATGATGATGATGATGCTGACTCTGATGATTCGGATGATGCTCATGATGAGGATGATGACGAATATGACGATCATGCTGACGATGACGCCGATGCTGATGGTGATGATGTTGACGATGCTTATGATAAGGATGCTGATTATGACGGTGATGACACTAATGGTGATTGTGATGATGACGATCAGATGATGATCGGATGATGATGGAGATAATCATGGTGATGACGATCATGACGACGATGTTGGGGATGCTGCTGATGCTGATGAGAACGAGGGTATGAGGGTGATGATGAGGATGGGGAAGGTGAGGAGGCGGTGAATGATGATGTTGATGATGATTGAGACGATGACGGCTACGACGCCGATGTCGAAGGTGATGGTGATGCTGCTGCGGATGCTGGTGCTGATGACGACGATGACGACGCCGATGATGATGATGCTGCTGCTGCTGATGATGATGATGATGAAGATGATGATGCTGATGCTGATGGTTGATGAAGATGCTGATGGTAACAACGATTATGCTGATGCTGAGGATGATCATTATGATGATGATGCTGATGCTGATCATGCCTATGGTGACGGTGGCGACGACACTGATGATGATGACATGATGATGATGATGATCATGATAATGTTGATTGTGATGATTCTGCTGATGCTGATGCTGACGACGATGATTATGTTGATGATGATGCTGATTGTGATTATTATGTTTGTGCTGGTGCTGATGACGATGATGATGACGATGATGGTTACCATAATTATGGTGATGATGATGATGCTGCTGGTGGTGATGATGATGACGATGCCGATGATGCTGCTGATGCTGCTGCTGATGATGACGATGATGCTGATGATAATGATGCTGCTGACGATGATGGCAATGATGATGCCATGATGATGCTGCTGCTGATGATGATGCTAATGATGCTGATGATGCTGATGTTGCTGATGTTGCTGATGATGGTGATGCTGGTGATGATGATGACGATGCCGATGATGCTTCTGATGCGGCTGCTGATGATGACGATGATGATGCTGATGATGATGATGATGAGGAGGGCAATGATGATGCTATGATGATGCTGCTGATGTTGATGATGATGATGCTGATGATGCTGATCATGATGATGCTGATGGTGATGCTGCTGCTGCTGACGACGATGAGGATGCTGTGCACAGCTAGATATTCGAAAGTGCGGCATATGAAGCGTCCTGGGGGCGGTTGGGAACCCACAGGAGTTCAAGCGGCCACCTGAAAAGGGTGGCCCCCAAGGCTAGAGGGGAGTGCATACGAACCCAGAAAAAACCAAGCAACTGTTTGAAAATGCGGGTTTCAGGGCCGACGGGTGCGCACAGATAGGCCAAACGGCCGCCAGCTATCAGATAGTGCGGCGCAGCCACCCATTTGAACTCATCGGATACTCCGAGGGGGGGGGTCAGACTTCTTTTTGCTACCGTCCCGACTGTACAGCACACTCGAGCGAACGAGAGGCCACAGTCGCAGCTCTCCTGCGGAGTGACATGTCCTGCGAATGCTCTTGGGTAGCTTAAGCTAACCCGTCGACGCAGGTGGCCTTCGCAAAGTGGGGCACAGAGACCCAGTTCCTCGGGGCCAAGTAGGACACTAGATGGACCCATGCAGAATCAATGCGCCCCTTCCGCACCACCAATCTTTCGCCCTGCCTGCTCTCTCTCCTTGCGCGCGCTGACTACTTCTGCTTCCGCAACTATACTACTTTGGCTCTAGGGAAACGGAAAAGGAGCGAGCCTGCGGCGCGCGCGCGTGCGTCGGCCGGCGGGCCGGCCTCCTCCCTTCAGTGCTACCGTAGTGTATGCTTGACGGCATTATCCTTGCTTCCCCATGTCATCTGCGGAGCCCACTGACCATGATATATTTCCGGAACAGATTACAGGGATTATGCATATCCAAGCAAAACATTGTATATCAGCCGAAACGACGGCACAGCCGTTAGCTTCGCAGAGCATGGGATCGCAAGAAAGAGCGCTCGGACGAACAGAAGACCGAAGCCTTTCCGAGCGTAACAAAAGTATAGGCGCCTCAACGAGGCGACAATATCCTCACAACCTTCCCAAAAAGAAAGCATAAGTTACTGTGTTTGACTTGGCAGAAGAGGATTCATCGGCTGATTCAGTGACAAGATCCAGAGAGCAACCCTCGGGCGGAAGGTATGGCACAACCAAGACTTACGCCGAGGGACCATCTGAGTTGGTGTCGGTACACCCTGGCTTCCAGCCATCGATGGACATAGATCTTGAGATGGAACAGTTGTTGGATGTCATCCCCATCGAAACGTCGGGCGCCGAAAGCATAGGCGCAGGACACGCGGTGCAGTGCGCTTTGCGTGGGCAGAGCGAGGATATGAGCGACTTACCATCTGAAAGGGATAGTTCCCATTCGATAGAAAAGAACCAAGAATATGCCCGATTCCACACCTCGCCTGGTCGATCGCGTCATCTCGATCCTCTCCCAGACCAGTGTGTCTCTGGCTCAGACCTGTTAGTGAGCGAGAGCGTGATCCACCGCCGCTTTACTGTGGAAAATTGCCGCCCTTTTCCTCCGGAGCCCGCCCCCCCCCTCCCTCCGAAATCCCACCCCCCCCCCCCCCTGCCGGACCCCCCCCCCCCCCCACCCCCCCCCCCCCCCTTCCCCCGGCAAAACCCCCTCCCTCCCCCCCCTAACCCCCCCCCCCCCTCGAACTCGAAAGCCGGGGGGGGCCACCGCCGGTTCGAACCCCCCCCCCGCCTCGAAAAAACTGAGGGGGGGGTCACTACCGGTTCGAACCACTGAGCTGTCCCACTGTTCCCACCACTGTCCCCACTGTCCCCGCGGTCCCCACCGCTGTCCCCACTGTACCTCTGTCCCGTTGTCCCACCGCCGTCTTCGCCACCGCCTTCACCGCTGTCCCCGCCACCACTGTGCCCTCCACTGTCCTACTGTTTCCACCGCGTTCCCACTGCCCCCGCGCCGCTGTCCCCGCCACCGCCGCCCCCGCCACTGTCCCACTGCCCCTACTGTTCCCACCATTGTCCCCGCCATTGTCCCCGCCGCTACCGCCCCCACCGCTGTCCCACTGTCCGCGCCATTGTCCTGCTGTCCCCGCGCCGCTGCCCCCGCCGCCACCGCCCCCACCGCTGCCCCCCCGGCTTTCGAGTTCGAGGGGGGGGGGGGAAGGGAGGGGTTCGAACCGGCAGTGACCCCCCCCCCCTTTTCATGATGAGCTGGGGGGGGGGAGGGGATCGAACCGGCAGTGGCCCCCCCCCCCGGTTTTCCGGAAGGGGGGGGGGGGGGAGGGGCTCCTCTAACCGGTAGTACCCCCCTCCGGTTTTCCGCCGCCAGCGGTAGAACGCGCTCTTTCGTTCGTGAGTATGACGATTGATCATGCAACGATTGGGGCCAGTCAGAAAGCCATTCTTGATTCGGATGATGATCTCGAAGGCGGAGGAAGCCCAGTCCAAGGTGGATGCTCGTCGGCGCAGCCGATGTCGAAGTTCCCCGATGGAATGCGTTCACTGAGGAAGGCGCGAGAAACTACCGGCATGACTCCCCGCCCATTGACGAAGAAACCGAAGGGTGAGAACGATGACTTGGATACCTCGCCATTACTGCAGGGCTTCTACAGACCAGACTTCTCGCTGCCCAGGACTAGCAGGGACAGGGTACCATAACTTGATGAGCTGGTAATGCAGGACGAAAGAGACGACTTAGCAACAAGTATGGGCGTTGACATCATCAAGAGAGGTGTAATAACGAGAGAACAACACACGTCTACCCCCAGCAGTGATAGGGGGCGTTCCAGTAAGGCCCCCAGGGCCGGGCGTTCCAGTTCTAGATGGTTCAATGCCATTGAACCGCCGCGGATGTCATCGAACAGAACCGCCAGCAGCTTCTCGATGCGGGAGGGTTGCTGGGACGCCGGGCCAACGTGCCCCACTCGGGCGGGGAATCGTTGCCTGGGGAAGGCGCACATGCCGGGGGGGTCATGTAGAAGGCCAGTGTGTACTCAATGTTCGAATGTTTGTCCAAAATGTAGTCCGGCATGGCTTTGTGAGGGGTGTATTACGATGGAAGAGCACAGTTGCCATCATCTCGCGATTCAAGAGTGGGCGGAAAGAAACAGACAGGATCGGGAACAGTGGAGGGCTGCGAGTGCACATATACAACTGATCATCTCTGAGGCGCAGGAAAATAAGAAGGCCGTTGCAGTTTCCGAGGCTGAGAGACAAGCGATTGCACGCAAGATGGAGCATGAGAAAACCATCAAGATGGAAAACGCTCAGAAACTGGTGCAGCATGCCGAAGCCAACGTAGCAGGGGGTGCAGACGAAGCACGCCGGCGCCTTGCTCAAGAGGAGATTGAAAGATTGAGAATTCGGAGCATTGCTGAACAACTGGTGTCAGACTCTCAGCAGAAGGCTGAGAGCGAGACAGCTGAACACAGAGAAA